TAGTTTGAGTCATGCCAGGAAAAACCTGATTAGGATTTATTTTTCTACCCAAAGATAAATTTAAACTCAGAATAATGAAAGATAAATCATTTACCTCCAAGTATGACACTTTCAGAGTGAATTCGAAGTCACTCTTCTTATCAATTTCTTTGAAGAGCAGTTGGATTACCCTAGGAATTACCCCAACCGTTGGTTCATTCTCTTGTTCAGCAGTGTATGTGCCTCCCATCGAATAGGTTTTTCCAGAGCCAGTCTGTCCATAGGCCAGGACGGTTGCATTGTATCCTGGCAAAACATGCTTAATGGCACTCAAGTATTTTCATCCAATCAATATTCCCCATTTCCTTCAGCGATTACTTGCAATAAAATTGAGACTGATCTCTTAAGACAAGAAACTCTTACGCGTAGCAGACACAGAGAAGAGTTTGCACTGATCCAAATAAGCAAAGAAAAGTACCAAACCTAGAACATGGGCCCCTCTTAAAAGATAGGAAGTAAAACAATTAAAGAGATGACTGAGATTGTGAAGGTGGCCAAGTCACCGTTAAAGAGCCATGTGGAGCTTTATAATTCTACTTTCTACTTTGAGCAATTCTAAATTATGGGAATTAAATTAAAGTCTTAGAAGCTGCATAAATAGAAGGGATCAAGCATGTATTTCTTTGATTAACCATCTTCATTTGAAAGGACAATAAAGTTGCTTTTTACAGTCAATGAAAGCATCTACTCCTTATCTGGACTCTCAGACTGCACGAGGACCATATTATCAGGCTCTCTATAGAAACGTCATTTAAGTATGATTCAATGGGATACAAGCCCTTTGCTTTTCAGAAAAATCGTAAAATGTTAAATTGAGATTTTCACTAATAGTTTGCTAGTATCACCTGGTATGGTACATCACGGCAAGACTATGGGGTCAAGAGAATTAACATCCCATAATATTCTGCAATACTACAGATATGTGTATATAGTAAGAACAGGGGAAACCAAGTTTCAGTACTTTTTACAAAATACTCAGGGCTCTGTGGTATCAGAGTACAAGAAGGTGCTGTTGAGCTGCCTGAAAAACAGTTTGTCTTTGCAGAGCAATGTTAACCAAATGCATATATATAGGGGTCATTTTCTACATTATATTCTTTATAAAGACTATAATTTAATTATCATAATTTCCCAAGTTAAAAATATGAAAGCATAACTTTAGTACCCTTACTAAGCTGTGAAAGTACATTCGGAGAACATGACCAGATAGTGAAGGCTTTGGAAACCATACTGATTCAGGAACGACTAAAGGAAAAGAGGGCTAGTTAATTAGAAGAGACTCAGAATCACATAATGGTCTTCCGAATATGTAAATAGGAAAAAGATTAACTTTATAGTGGAGAAGCCTGGCAGATAACACCTTAATCAAATGATCAAAATGAACATCAGGATGTGAGGGCAAACTGCCTTTGACATCTGTCACGCTAGGGCTGATTTGGCTGATCTGGCTGGCTAGGCGGGTGTTCCTCCCTCATGCCTCCATGTGCGTCCCTCCCAAAGCTGTGCACTCGGTTGAATAGGACCTTCCCCCATAGAGGAGGGGACCATTTTCTGGTCAAGGGTATACGAGTAGCTGCACTCCCTTGCTGGAGCCTCCAAACAAGCTCTCAAAATGAACATCAGCAGTAATGGAACAAATTAAAATCCTGTGTTGATGGACAGGATTCAAAGAGAATAATGATACTTCTGCTAAAGATATAGAACCTGAATCTAATCATCAATAAACATCAGACAAACTGAAATTTAAAAACGGTTTACAAAATAAATCTCCACAAGTCTCATGATTATGAAAGTCAAAAAAGAATGAAAAACACTTTAGAATAAAGGAGACTACAGAGGCAGTACAAGTAAATACAACATGTGATTTTGAATTAGACTCTCTGCTATAAAAGACATAATTGTGATTAAACAGCCCTCTGCCTTGAATCCTGAATGACCACTGTCCTAGAATAATAATTAAAGACTTCTTAGGCACTACTCCCCTCTTCAGAACCCTAGTACGGTCTTCAATAACACTAAAACCTTAGCTTCTGCAAGAAAGATTATTAATTGGCTGGAGTATTCAGAGACTTTAGGAAATCTCATTCTTTACCTAAAAGAATCTACTCATCATTCAAGAACTACCTCAAAGGTTCCCTAGGCTGTGAAATTTACCCTAGGTGCCCCAGAGTTGGTGTCATCTTTCCAGTTCTCATACCACTTTGTATGGAAACATTCCTACTTCTAGAGCAGGACTGATGGATTCTCTTGCATGTTTTTTTTTTTTTTTAATCCTCACCCGAGGACATTTTTCCATTTTTTGTTCAGATAGAGTGGGAGGGAGAGAGAGGAAGAGAGAGAGAGAGAGAGAAACATCGACGTGAAGGGACACATCGAGTGGCTGCCACCCACACGACCAACCAGGGCCGGGGACAAACTGCAACCGAGGTACATGCCCTTAGCGGGAACTGAATCCGGGTCTCCCCGGACCGCAGGCCAATGCTGTAATCGCTGAGCCAAACCGGCCAGGGCTCTCTTGCATGCTTTTAACTTCTAAAATATTTGTAGTTAAAGATGGATGCAAAAAGTTTAAAATATTTTATGCCTCAAAAATTATTTATGGCCCTGGCCGGTTTGGCTCAGCGGTTAGAATGTCGGCCTGTGGTCCAGAGACCCAGGTTCGGTTCCTGCTAAGGGCATGTACCTTGGTTGCAGTTTGTCCCTGGCCCTGGTTGGGTTGTGCGGGTGGCGGCCAATCAATATGTCCCTTTCACATTGATGTTTCTCTCTCTCTCTTCCTCCTGCTCTGCCTGAATAAAAAAAAAAAAAGGAAAAATGTCCTCAGGTGAGGATAAAAAAAAAACAACTTTATGTAGCCCTGGCTGGGTTAGAGTGTCGGCCCGTGGACTGAAGAATCCCAGGTTCCAATCCGACCAAGGACACATACCTTGGTTGCAGTTCATCCCTGGCCCTAGTTGGGGTTGTGTGGGTGGCAACCAATTGACGTGTCTCTCTCACGTTGATGTTTCTCTGTTTCTCTCTCTCTCCCTCCCTCCCTCCCTCCCTCCCTCCCTCCCTCCCTCTCTGTCTGAAGATAAATGTAAAAATATCCTCAGATGAGCATTTAAAAAATTATTTATGTAGTCATCTAGTTGTACTCCTACCCCTGAACTCTGTACTCCTGCAGGGCCTGGAAGCTATATTATTTATCTTTGAATCTTTCCATAGGTTTTGCAGTGCTTGAGCCTCAAGTAGGTCAGCACACTAATTATCATCAGCACTCATCAAAGAGCTTAGAATCTAATAAGATTACAGGACAAACAGAAATATATAAAAGTTGCCCTGGCCAGTGTTGCTCAGTGGTTAGTGTGTCGTCCCACTCACAGAAGGGTCACAGGTTAGATTTCCAGTCAGGTCAAGGGGATGTACCTGGATTGCAGGTTCAATTCCCCTGGGGGCATTTATGGAGGCAACTAATCCAAGTGTCTCTCATATGGATGCTTGTGGGTATGTCTCTCTCTACCCCCCTTCCTCCCTCCCTTCCACTTTCTCTAAAAATTAATGGGAAAAAAATCCTTGAGTGAGGATTAACAAAAAACATATATATGCATATATACACACACATATATGCACGTACATACATACACATGCAGACATACACATATATATACATATATAAAATGCCTTTTTATATGGGAAAGTCAAAGATGAGCAGAACCACAGACTGGTCTTGTACTGCATTTGCTTTCTGTGGGCTTTTGGGAGGCAGGACGCATGTTTCACCCATTCCCGTGTTTACAGCAGCCAAGCACAGGCCCTGACACACAGTATACGCTCAGAAACTGTTTAAAGAATGAAACAGTCTCACCTTTGAATATGCCTTTTATGAGGGGTGCTACTGCTGTATTGAAGACTTCTTCCTGTTCGGTCGAGGGGTCAAACACAAAATCGTAGGTGAAGGATTTGTCCGTACCAACCACCACCTAGGGGAGCAAGGGACAAGGAGTAAGCCCCGAATGCCAGCCCAGACCACGCCCCTCCCTGTCAATTGCCCCCAGGTGTCAGGACGCGGGCCCAGGACTGCTACGCACCTGCGGTTCCCTGGGGACGAAGGAAAGGCACACCTGGCAGCCCTCGCTAATCTCTTTGGGAAGCAGAGGGCGACATCGCAGGGCCACTCTTACAGGAATTCCCTTCACCTCTTCCGTCATGATCCCACTTCAGCACCGTCTCTGACGGAAGAAAAAGAGAAGGGGCTTGCGGATGAGCCCGGGTGCGAGGGCGTCCGCCCTCAGTCCCGGCCCTCGGCGGGGGCGGGGGTTGGGTCACGGACCTCGGCGTAGGTGAGGCCGCCCCTCCTTGCAGCGGGGTCGCCGCCGCTGGACAGGCCCTGTCCCTCGGCTGTGGCCACCGCGGGAAACAGCGAAGTGGCGTCTGAAAGGGAAAGGGAAACCCCCAGCGGACACGACCACAAAGACCCGCAGCCCCCGGGTACCGGGAAAGGCAGGTCCCGAGCTAGGATGTGTCCCCTCCACTCGCCGAACCACTCATACCTCCTCCAGTCTTCCCGCTGCCCCGGCCCAACTGGAGATTTAACCGCCAACTTTTAAATTGCTCCCGAAGGCGCCAGCCAATCGGAACACAGACAGCCGGCGGGAGGAGCACGCACGTCGGCGTGCGCAAGGGGACGCTCTGGGGAGGGGTGCGCTTGCGCGCCGCACCGTGACCCCGCCCCTTCCGCCCCTTCGGGGCATCTGCTTCCGGTTCTCAGGCTGAATTGGCGGTGAGTGGAATCTGCGCTGGCTGACACCTGTTGGCAGGTGAGACAGCACGACGGTTACCACCTCGAATGCGCGGGGCTCGGGCAGAATGCCGGGAGGGGGTTTGAAGGTGGCTGGTGGTGAAGAAAGGGGCTATCTGGGGACCCCCCACCGTGATGGATCACATCTAGGGAATGTGGGGCGGTTCCTTGCTTCGAGTCCCTGTGCATGGAGTCAGAACTCCATTTGGACTTCGAGAGTAGACAGATCTTTTCAGATGCGACCCCGCTCGGCTCTTCTTGAGGTTGAAGACAGTAACATCTATTTTGCAGGAGTGTCATGAGAAAGATCATCTCGATAGAGGACCAAGCAGGTTGCTCGACATCCTGATATCCTGCAAAGTTCATTGTTTTCTTCCTTCTTTCCACCACTCTATCACCTAGAAGTGGGTCAGAGTTGTTTTCTGGAACTTGCTGGGCTGCTGTCCCCTTTAAATCATTTTTGTCAGCTTCGATTCACTCGTCCATTCCAGGGCCTTGCCAGAGATGGACAGCCGGATTCCTTATGATGACTACCCAGTGGTTTTCCTGCCTGCCTATGAGAATCCCCCTGCATGGATTCCTCCTCATGAGGTGGGAACTGTCAGTACTCTTGAATAGCAGATTTTCTCCCATGGGCATGAGATGATATATGAAAGGTAGGATAGCAGGGTTAGAAAGCTCAATGGAGAATTAATCTTAGCCTTTGTTGTAGCCAAGGGACCCAGGAATTGGATTCTGAGCAACTGGGCCCATTAGAAGCTTCTTAGGAATCCTTCCAGAATCCATTCACACTAGATAATTCTGGAAATTTGGAGCTCCAGTTTCTATTTCCGTCAAAGTAAACAAGTGGGAAGCTACTGGACTGCTAGCATTTCCCAAAGCTATCCATTTACCCATTTGGACAGTGTTACCTGTTCTACTTAAACTAAGTCCATGACTTCACCATTTCCTGACTTCAGGGTGATACATTTGTGTTCCAGATGAAGGTGGGCATAAAACCTGAGACTGATAGTAAGATTTCTGGGGTTGCTGTGTCTTTCAGAGGGTATACCACCCAGACTACAACAACGAGTTGACTCAGTTTCTGCCCCGAATCATCACACTGAAGAAGCCTCCTGGAGCTCAGGTGAGCTTATAGAACAATACATCTTATTCCAGGTTTGATTTGTCCATACCAGGTCCAGAAGTTAGCTGTGGTTGGGAGGACAGATTGGGGAGCAGGTAGGAAGATAAGGAAACTACTTTTATTGGGCAGAAAAGCTGAGATATCATTTACATAACTTCTGACTTCTCTCTGAGGGACAAATAGCAAAGATATCATACAGTGACACTACTAGATATTCTTGTGTTTGTGGTCTATATTGAGCCCCATTCTGTGCTCTTGTCTTGCAGTTGGGATTTAACATCCGAGGAGGAAAGGCCTCCCAGCTAGGCATCTTCATCTCCAAGGTGCGTGTGCCTGGTAGGCAATGTGAATAGCTACTTTCCTTTGTTATCAGATTGTAGAACCATGAAGTCCCAAGGCCTGGGAGAAGGATGATTTAGTGGAGGCATAATAGGGAAACTCTTTCCCACTTAAAACTTCCCACCTGGCAAGCATCTGTTTCCCTACATTTACGTGCATGTGTACCTGCAACAAGACACACACACATACACGCATACACACAAGCAGCTTACATTTGAATAGCACTTCATTTCACTTTCAGTCTTTGAAATCATCCCACCTTGATCACACATATTCTCTCCTTACCCACAGGTGATCCCTGACTCTGACGCACATCGAGCAGGACTTCAGGAAGGGGACCAAGTCCTAGCTGTAAATGATGTGGATTTCCAAGATATTGAACATAGCAAGGTGAGCACAGCACTCAGGCTGTGGTGTGGCAAGAGTGATCCCAGGTAGAACAAGTTGGACAGGATTACCCTAATCTGTATGTAACTTGAAAAGAAAGAATCTCTCCCAAGGAAGTATACCGGAGGGAAGCAGCTATTAGTGATCCAGAAGGTTGGAGCTGCAAATGACTTTCCTCCTGTTATGGTTCTGTCCTGGGTCATATCTCTTCATTTGTACAAGTTGTGCTCCTTTCAGGCTGTTGAGATCCTGAAGACAGCCCGTGAAATCAGCATGCGTGTCCGCTTCTTTCCCTACAGTAAGTATCACACATTTTTTAATGTTTTTTTCTTTATTGATTTTAGAGAGGAAAGGAGAGGGAGAGATAGAAACATCAATGAAACATCAACATCTATTGGCTGCCTCTTGCACGCCCCCTACTGGGGATTGAGCCTGCAACCCGGTCATATGTCCTGACCAGGAATCCCACCAGCAACCTCTTGGTGCATGGGACAATGCTCAACCACTGGGCCACACCAGCAGGGCTCACTCTCTTTTTAATGACTTGGAAGGGCCCTGGGTAGGAACTCTTTAAATCCTGATTAATAGAGACCCATGAATTGGGAGTACGGAATTGGGAGCTCAGGCCTGAAAATAACCTGCTTTGTGCCTCCTTTATTTCTTTTCCCCAGATTATCATCGCCAAAAAGAGAGGACGGTACACTAGAGTTGCAGCCCACAGCCGTCCACATGGAATCTTCTAGGACAAGCTGGCCAGGCCTCAGGGAAGCCACATACACTCTCATACATTTTGGAGACTCCCATGGGACCCTGTTTTTCCTCCTCTCCCTCCCATTCTCTCCTCTAAAAAATAAAACGCAACACTGAAGAAATATTGGTGTACCTTTTGGATGCCACTCATTGAGCGTAACCTGCTGTTGAGGCAAAAGGAAAAGCTCTTCCAAAGAGGAGCCACTGGAAGCAACAGAGCAACACCATACCTGCTTCACAATAGTCTCTGTCTGCCCGGAACACCAGGGAGGCCCGGGAACCTTAGCTACAGTAGAGCTGAGGAATGGTATAGGGTGGAGGGTACAGGAGGAAACCTGCCCTTTCCCCGTGATCTTTGGACATTTCTCTGCAGGTTGCTATTAATATAGTTCTGCCTTCTCCTTTCCCTGATTCTTTCATCTGTAACATAAACTAAAAGGCTTGGGTGCATTTCTTTTCCGGGATAGCAGGAAAAAATTGTCCAAGGTGTAGGTTGAGTAGTACTGACAGCTGGCCTACCCCTTTTCTTCACCTCAACTCCCAAATAATCTGCCATGTTTTTAGCTCCTTAGTTACAATCCACAGTTAGAGATTCCAGGCCACACCTTACGCCATTTCCATTGACGTTCAAAATACCGATTCAGGCCCTGGCTTGTGTGGCTCAGTTGGTTGAGTGTCCTCGCATGCACTGAAGGGTTGCCAATTTGATTCCAGTCAGGGCACATGCCTGGGTTGCAGGCTCAATCCCCAAGTAGGGGACATGCAGGAGGTGGCCGATCCATGTTTCTCTCTCACATCAATGTTTCTATCTCTCCATTCCTCTGTAAAAAATCAATAACAATATATTTTTTAAAAAATACCCATTCAGAACAAAGTTTTCTAATGAGGTGTAGGATGAAGTGCCCCCATAATGCAAGTCCCAAATTTGCCTTGACAGAATCTTGGGGAGATTAAATATGTATATTTTCAGACCCTTCCCCGGGAGAGTGATTTTGTTGGTCTGAGGTGGAGCCTCGAAATATGAAATTTTAAGTCAGGTAAATAAGTCTTCAAATATGGGAAAGCTTTAAATAGAGTAGGAGTAATGTATCTCTATGAGGAAGTTCTGGCTCTTCCTATAAATCCCATTCCGGCTCTACTACGGTACCTCTTCCAGATGCTCAGGGCCATTGTTAAGTGGCAGCATCCTTGTGAGTAGAGCTGGACGTAGAACTCAGCTGTCTCTCGGTTTCCTGGGCAATTCCCCCTTACTCCGTATTCTTACTGCTCTGCTGTCCCCCAGTGGCCATCTGAGAAAAAACTCATACTTGCTCAAAGGCACATTGGCTGAGTCTACTGAAGGCTGAGGTCCAAACCTCTTTGTGGTTAACAACTCATCTGAGAAGTGTGGTAAACTGTCAAGAGTCCCAGCCAGGTACCATAGGCCTAAGAGGCAAAACCCCTCCTGCCCTAAATTGGTTCTCACTCCGCAGTACTTGGAATGGTTCGGGGTGGGTTGGAATACCAGGTGATGCAATCCCACTGTGGAAGTACAGGTCTAGTATGGAGAAAATGCAGGCAGTAACAGGCAGAGGCGAAGGGACCAGTTGTTTATTGAAGGTGTAAAGAAGAAAACAGTGGAGAATAGACTGATTCTGGCTTTGAGGTATCCCAGCTGCTGTAGAACTGCATCCCCTATAGGTATCTTAGTGGTGAGTGGAGGTGAGGTGGGATTCCCGGCCCCGCAAGAACTCTCTGCCCAGAGCTGTGAGATGCAGTCAAAGAAGAAATGCTGGCAATTCCAGGGGTTTTGTTGGACTCCTAAGCCCCAGAATTGGACGAGAGCTTAGTAAGTTGCCGAGAATTTAAATCATAAACCTGAGGGTGGGGGAGGAGGACTGGTATTGGGAGGTCCAAATGCAATAAATTAATCAAATTAGGCAGACAGCCTAAGCTATCAATAGAAACAATGGCTTTTGATGCCTGACTCATTGGAGGGCTCCAGTTAGGTTTTAACCACTGATGTGCGCGTTAAGGAAACTCATAGAGAGGTGCCTGGGGTCAAATCTCAACTCCCAGGGGCAGCTTCTAGGAGACAGAAGAGGAATTCTGGTCATAAGATCCCCTTCACCTAAAGGCAATCAGGGAGCTGCTTTGGGCTGAAGTTAGTCCCTTGTCTCTTAAATATTAGGGAAAAAAATTGGGCTGGCCACCAACTCGGCAAGGGAAGTTTGTCTTTTTTGCTTGTACACTGCCTACCCTAGCAAAGCTGGAAAAAAGGATACTCTTCTTCCTTCAGTGGAGATGAACTACTTCTGGAAGGTCAGAAGCCACGCACAGGAATAGCTGTGTGTGTGTGAGAAAGAGAGAGAGAGAGAGAGAGGAAGGAGGGTGACGGAGGGAGAGAGAACGGTGATGCACAAAGGGGAAGAAAAGGAGGTCAGGTTCAGAAACATGATTCTGGGTCTTTTCACTGCATAATGGGGACACAAACCTTCCCCCCTCCCCACAACAGGACAAGCCACAGTTATCTGAAAGAGTAAGCCGTGGTGGGTGGCTAGAGCCAGGGAATTATAAAGAAGACTTATTTTCACATTGTAACTGGTTTGGGCACTGGTTTCAACTAATATCACATTGAAATCTCGGGAATTTTCTTCCCGTCTTCTGCAGAGATTTGTCTGGACAAATGAGAAATGATGTAAGGGACCAGACAGTGGTAAAGACCCCTTCTGACCAGAGTTAGTCGATAGAAATAGATCCTTCTGAGGTATAATGGTGTCTCCCTAGGGCCAGGAACCCTAGAAGCCTTGAACCCATACTCTCTCTGATCCCTGACACTGGTCATTTCTCCCAAGTAAATAGAGCATAGTAGACACTCCCCACAGAGACTAATCTCTAGTTATGCCAGAGAAAGTTGTAGTTACACCTTACCTTTTGTTTGGATCAATCTTGTTACCCACCAACATGATGACTGCATCATCTCTTTCTTCCTGAACATCTTCTACCCACTTATCCATGTCTTTGAAAGAACTGATGTGTACAAGAGAATGTGTTGTTGTGTTGAAACATTTAGTAGAGGTTTGGAGAGAATAAAGTACCTGTCCTTCCTCTCTGCTATTTTTACCAACCTCCCTATTGCTTACCTCAATCCCCTTTTCAAGTAAGACGTAGCATAGCAACCCCCTTGTGATGTTATAGACAATCCCTGCAATAACTGAATCATAGTTAAGAGTCAGGCTGCAAAAGCACTCCTGGACAGATGTGTCCCATAGCGGTAGTTGAACCTGCATAAAACAAAGGTGGAGAGGCCTGGCCGGTGGATAGTGTCAACTAGCACACTGAAGGGTTGCGGGTTTGATTCCCAGTCAAGGGCACTACCTGGGTTGCAGGTTGGATCCCCTGACTAGGGTGTGTGTGATGTGTCTCTTGTGTCTTTCTCACATCTCTCTCTCCCTCCCTCCCTTCCTCCCTCCCTCCCTCCCTCCCTCTCTTTCAAAAAAAAAAAAAATCCTTGGGTGAGGATTAACAACAACAAAAGCCAAAAACAAATGCGGGAAAAGATACACAAGAAACTAGCTTTTTAAAGGCTAGAACTTAATAAAGGCAAAATAAAAAGAGTAAAAAATCTGGGTCCCTGAAAAGTGGCTACTATGGCCACAAACCAAGTGACTTACCATTGTAAGACAGGTCCAATGTCATCATATTGTTTGTTTGTTTGTTTGTTTTTATCCTCACCTGAGGACATTTTTCCATTTTTTGTTTAGATAGAGTGGGAGGGAGAGAGAGGAAGAGAGAGAGAGGAACATCGATGTGAAAGGGACACATCGTGTGGTTGCCACCCGCACAACCCAACCAGGGCCAGGGACAAACTGCAACCGAGGTACGCGCCCTTAGCAGGAACCAAACCTGGGTCTCTCTGGGCCACGGGCCGACACTCTAACCACTGAGCCAAACCAGCCAGAGCTCATCATATTGTTTTGATTAAGGAAGACCCCCACGGAGCAGCAGATTGAAGGGTTCAAGGCCTCTTGGATTTTGTCTGTGTTACAGTTGGAGTTTATTTATTTTTTTATTCTCACCTGAGGACATTTTTTTCCCATTTTTTTTTGTTCACATAGAGTAGGAGGGAGAGAGAGAGAGAAAGAGAAACATCGATGTGAAAGGGACACATTGAGTGGCTGCCACCCGTACGACCAACCAGGGCCGGGGACAAACTGCAACCGAGGTACATGCCCTTAGTGGGAACTGAACCCGGGTCTCTCTGGACCTCAGGCTGATGCTCTAACCACTGAGCCAAACCGGCCAGGCTACAGTTGGAGTTTAGATGAGGACAGAGAATAAGGAACAGGACAGGGTTGGTAATTTGGGGAGACTTCATGCTTTCCTTCGCCTTCTTTATCTACAGATAATCCTGGCGGTGTGACCTTACTGGGATGACACATATGCCTACGGGGTTGAGGTTAGGGTTAGTGATACGAGAGTGAACACTCACTGTTCAGTACTCTGAGGCCATGATCTTGGACGGGAAGTCAATTCCAATGGTTGCCTGCAAATGAAAGATACTCACTCAGTACCCTTCTTCTACCCCGAATACCAGGCAGCCGTAGAACTGTGAGTGGAGATTGGCCCTTGAGAAGGTTGTTCTGCTCAACTTCTCCACACTTACAATAGATAACTCTGAAGAGCCATGGGTGAGTGGGCTGAGGAAGGGGGTAAAAATGGCCCTCGCGATGCCTTGGTGGTGGGCTCACCTGGCCAGGGCAGTTGAAGGTGTGCATCCTGAGGCAGGTGGTGATTGATGTCTTTCACCCTGTGAGGCAGGTAAGTAAGCGGTTTGTCACCCTGGGCAACCAGGGAACCCTCTCCTGGGTTCCATACCGTCACACCAGCTTATCCCCCAAGCCCAACCCAGACCCCCTCCGCTGTCTGGATTTACACAGACCAGTACTGAGGTCCGTTGATGGTTTCCAGGTCGAAGCCTCTGTCACCATCGTGGGCCTCGCTGGCTGCCTGAAGCCACACGGAGTTCTCAGGCCAACCGCGTTCAAGCCGCCTGCGGACCGCCCCTGGGCCTGGGCGCAGCACTGTCTGCTGGCCCTCAGCTCCAGCCGCTCCCTCCCTGGGGTAGTGGGTGATCATGGGGGCGGGGGCGATGGGGTGGCGGTGAGGAAGGACAGCGCCAGAGGGGAAGTTGAAGGACCCACGGAGGGGAGGGTGGGCAGTGTGCCAGAAGGAAATCTGGGGTCATTTAGGAGAAAAGCACCTGCTACCGGGTAATCGAATCACCGACAGGGAAGGAGGCGCTGGTTCTCAGTTTCATTACCCTCCCGGAGAAGAATACACTAAAGAGATCTCCAGGCACGTCTGGACAAGCTGATTTATTAGAGCATTACAGTGGGGGTCTCATCTCACAAGCGCCAGAGCCAGGTGCTCAGCTCCCCTTGTCCCCCTGGGCCGCCAAAGCCTCTGGACTGTCCTCCCCGCGGGGCTCCTGCTGGGCAGACTCCTCGATCACTATGTCCTCAGAGCTAGCAGAAGCAGCAGAGGGGAATTGAGGGGTAGGAACAAGTTTCTGGGCATCCCCCACATTCCTTCCTTTTCCCAGAGAAGTGATTCTTTCCCCATCTCCTGGCTCAGATCCCTAGATCCCTCTTGGTAGCCCCCACCCCACGCCCATCGACTGTTTCCCTTCACTGGCTCCCTCCCCAATCGCCCAACACAAAAGTCCCCCGAGGGCACCCAGGGGGAAATTAGAATGGAGGGAGGGATGCAGCGAAGGGATGGAAGAGTGAAGGAGGGAAGTAAGGGTGAGAGGGTGGGCGCGAGTGGAAGAGATGAGGGGGGAGGGTGATCTGGAGAGGAGCGGGGTGGAGAGCTGAGCAGGGGAGGGGGATGCAGACAGGGAAAGGAGGGCGGCTGAGAAGCACTGAACTGTGACATGAAGCTAAACCATAAGTTTTCACTGCAACTGTATTGGAAGCAACATTTCAGGGCAGGTTTGTTACATTTCTACCTTCAAAAAATGGAGGATATCAGTGTGGAAAGGGGATGGGATTTTCCTGCCTCTCATTTCCTTACCTAGCAGCCTCTGTAGCAAGGAGAGGGAGGGAAAAATGAAGCTGAAGCTGATAAGAGGCTCTTCCGTTTTCGAAAGAAAAGTCTTCCCCTTCCCTTCTTAACCTTCTCCCTCCCACATAGAGCACGCGCGCCCGATCACACACACACACACACACACACACACACACACACACACACCACTTCCCTGAAAAAACTAGACACCCAACATGCCTGTTGCTATTTAATCTCCACCCAAACTTCTATCCCCATCTGTGAGATCAGAACTGTTTGGTCCCCATCTGGAAGGCCCATTGTTCCTGTGAGTCCCAACTGGTCACTCACCCTGAGATGGCTTTGGATGCATCAGGATTAGGGGCAGTTCCACACCAACATCGCTGCGAGGATCCCAAGGCAGAGTTACAGATTTTCCTCCAAGTCCACTCCTTGAACCTCTCTCCCTCAATTTTCCTGTCCTGGAATGGCCTCAGACTCCCTCATCACTCGTTTGGTCTCCTTATCTCCTATCCCCCCCCTCTTGCCCCAGTCCCCCTGCGCCACACTGTCTTACCTGGCTGTCAGGTTGCCTAAGATGCTGAGGGTAGAATGACACCATAAAATTAGCAGCTGGAAATGGAAAGTGGCAATCTAATTTTACTGAGGGATGAGGGATCATAAGACCAAGTTAGCCACAGAACGGGTTTCGGGAAGGGAAGGGAAGGGAAGGGAAGGGAAGGGAAGGGAAGGGAAGGGAAGGGAAGGGAAGGGAAGGGAAGGGAAGGGAAACTGATCTGGGAGAAGGGTGGGAACAACTTGATTCCAACTGAAAGGAAAAGAGAAGGGAGAAACCTTCAGCTTCTCAACCCCTGCTCAGACAGACCATGAACCCTCACTCACCCTCCGCTGGACACAATCAGATTGACTCTGACTTTGTATGACACCAGGATCCCCAGCAGCTCCTTGTTCATTCCAGGTCGGATACTGGAGGTGGCAGTATTCATTATGTGTTTGTGGGGGTGAGGGAGGGGGAGTAATTCATCAAGTCCTCAAGTCCCCTCCTGTACACCTTTTGTCCTCCAACAGGCCCCCCAGGCTTTGCTCTCTCCTACCCATTGGGACTACATTTGTGTTTCTAAAATCCAGTTTTACCATGTCACCCTCTGTTCAGGATTCTACTTCTCTGAATAGAAGTACTCTGCCTAGCTTTTACTACTCAACTCATAACAATCTTGCCCCACCCAACCTCCCTAACCTTTTCTGTCTTAACTCCCTAACGCCTGGGAAACAACCTAAATGGACCCATCCTTTGTCCATGCCCAAAACATGCCATGTGGATTCCCACCTTCTAGCCTTTGCTCATGCTATGCTCCCAATCTGGAATGCTCCTTTCTTCCTCTGTTGCTATCCAGATTCTACACGTTCTTTAAGATCTAGCTCATTCTGTCTCCCCCAGGAAACCCTCTCTAGTTATGTTGGCTTCTTTTAACTTCTATTAGATTTATAATCTGAACCATGCATACTATTTAACTGTTAGATTGCATTTGCATTTCTCTCTGTTCCCCATCTAGGCCATAAATTGACTGAAGGTAGAGATTGTTTTAAACTTCTTTGTATTCTCCTACATGTAATAGGTGCTCAATAAAAAAAACCCCCGCTGATTGAAAAATAAGACACAGAAAGCTGTATATTCTTAGGAAAGTTTCGTCATTACTCTGGGATGCTGATATTCTATAAAATAATGCTGTTTCGACAATTTCTAAAGGTCTTTCTAGCATTAATAGTCTATAGCTACATGATTGATAAGGCACTGGGAGAGGGAGGGGGAAATTAGCACTTGTCAGATGGTGGCAGATGGTTTTTCCTGGGAGATACATCTAACATACACTAAGGTCTCTGAAGTCATAGGACCAAATGAATGACCTGATAGAATTCTATCAATTTTGCCCAGCCAATGTGGCTCAGTGGATTGAGCATTGTCCTATGCACCAAGAGGTCCTGGTTGGATTCCCAGTCAGGACACATGCCTGGGTTGCGGGCTTGATCCCCAGTAAAGACATGTGAGAGGCAGCCGATACATGTTTCTATCTCTTCCTCTCCATTCCTTTCTCTGAAATCAATAAAAACATATTTAAAAACAAACAAAACTGCTAAATAAGAATTAATTTAAAAAGAATTATATTAATTTCTATCATATCACTCTCCTTTTTGGTCCCCCTTTCCCTCCATTTCTCATCTCCTAGTCTTTCATCCATTTCTATCTTCCCTAGAGAGTAGTTACAGTAGAGACCACAGTGTTAGAACCAGATGACATGTGCTAGAATCCTTCATGCCTCTGCCACTTATTAGGTGTGCACGTTTGGACAGATTCCTTCATCACTTTTAGCCTCAAGGTCCTTAGTATAAAATGGAACAAAAACAACTTTACAGACTATTTTAGTGGGATTCTTATGAAGAAAATATAGCACATCTATAAGACCTTTGTGAGCTGTGAAATATTATACAACATAGGAATTTTTTCTCTCCACTTTTTTTATTCTTGCTGCCTCTGACCTAAGCCTGCCGTTGGTCCCATGGTCATTGTTTAGCTTACTGTTGGTCCTTAGGCTTGGAGGGATCTCTGAAAAATGACCTAGGGACATCTAAAAAATAGGTATGCTTTATTGAAGGTGAAACCTCACAACTGTATATATAGCATGCAGAATGGGTTGGGAATAGAAAATGGAGACTGGGAGTCACATTTGAGCTTACATTGTGCTGGAGGCCAGATTGGTATCACCATGCTTGAGTTTGCCATCCAGTGCCAAGCCCTGTTTCTGGCAGTTGTCAGCCAGGAGTGGGGTTACTGCAAAGCTCTTGGAGAAGCTGGAGTTAGCAGCTATAGCCTCCCTTTGAAAAGAGAAGAGAAGAACTTAGGCTAGGCTTGCCAACTAAATGTACTTTCATTGCCAAGAGTATCTTCCACAATTGCACGAATCTACTGGAGTACCGAAGAAAACTGGCATGTCTAAGTGTGGAGAGTGGGAACAATTTGCTCTGATGGGAAATAGTTATGCCCCTGCCCTCCCTCAGCATTTTGATGATCCTCTTGTGGGTATCCTCCCTCTAGTTCTCCTGGGAATGCTTCCCTTTATCCAGATCAGCCCTCACTTTGAACTTTGTCAGTCCTAGGCTTTTACCCACTTCTTACTTTTTCCAACCTTCTCCTCTTAGCCATCTTCTCACCACCCCATCCCTTGGCTCTCTGACCCAGGCCCCGGCACCAGCTCACGTGAACTCCTGAATGAACACCGTCTTGGTGTACTTGTCTAGTGAATACAGGACAACATCGGTGATCTGGTCAACTAAACAGCCAGGAAAAGCACATTACTATAATTAATCAGTCATCCTCGAGACCTCAACTCACTGCCTCAGATGTCACCTTGTACAGTATGCATGAGCACTAAGATGTGTTCATGGACAAACAAAGATAAGCCCAAATTGGAAGGAAATCCTGGATAAATGCAGACTAGGTGGGGCAGAGTTTTGGAAAAAACAAAAACAAAACAAAACAAAAAACTATGGATTTGAGACCAGGTGCAGGGGAATAGGAAAAGAAGCTCACCTGAAATCTTGATTTTTTTGATGACCTTGCTGGTGCAGTTGTTGATGGAAACATTAACAGAGATGGGTTGGCCATGATAGTGAACCTGAAGCCAGAGGCCCATCATAAGGTTGGAGGGAGAACGCCAAGATCAAGACCTAGAATTCCTGTTTCCTTGGCACTGTTGCCACCTGGCTTCCATCCCCTCTCTACCCAAGTAGAAAATAAGTGAAGAAGGGTTTCAGAGGGGCTGTAGGGTAGAGGGAAGAAAGTGGGGGAGGGATCACTAACCTCCCTCTCCATCCAGGCCTGAAGTTGTAGGGGCTGAGCTGACAGAAGAAAGTGGCGGATGGTCTGGGCCCAGGGGCCAGGGCCTGGCTCCGGGGGTGCAAACTGTACTTTCCGAATCACCAGCCTCACAGAGTCTCTGAGTAGAGGCCAAGGGGTTAGCCAGAACCTCTCCTTTGGGACCCACAGACCTTTCCCATGCCAACCCCATAGTCCTGTCATTGCTTGGGGAGTGGGGGTGGGTGAAGGCCCGTCTCAGAGAACTCCTGTACATCCTCCATGTAGGTATCTAAACAATGGGTCAGCAAACTATGGCTCACTGGCCAAATCTGGCCTGTGCTTGGTTTCTTTCTTTTCTTTTTAAATGTTTTTATTGATTTTAGAGAGAGAGGAAAGGAGAGGGAGAGAGAGAGAGACATTGATAAGAGAGTAACATCAACATCCAGTGCGCCCCTACTGGAAATCAAGCCCACAACCCTGGCATGTGCCCTGACTTGGAATTGAACTGGCGACCCCTTTGTTGTACCTGGTTTCCATGGCCCATGAGCTAAGAAAGGTTATTACGTTTGTCAATGGTTGAAAAAAAATTAAAGAACAATAATATTTCATGGCCTGTGGAAATGATATAAAATTCAAATGTTAGTGTCCATCAATAAAGTTGTGTTGGCACACAGCCATAATCATCTATTTCTGTACTATCTATGGCTGCTTTCATACTACAGTGGCAGAGTTGAGCAGTTGCATGCAACAGAATCAAAATGGTTCGCAAAGCCTAAACAGTTATTTGTTGGCCCTTTACAGGAAAGTTTGCTGACCCTTGCCCTAGAGCAGAGAAGTCAGAGGGGAGTCAGAACCAGGCATCTGAGTTGGTGGCGACGAGCTATTGAGGTTAGAAATAGGGCTGTTTCTGTCCTGAGAACAGATCTGTTTCCTGGCACAGCTGGGAGGCAGCGATTTTGGAGAGGGCCACAGAATACCTCCTGGGGATTTTATCCTCCAGATTTTCAGCACAGAAACTCTTCACTTCAAAGTCAACCCCACAGGCCTGCAAAGTGCAAAGGCAAAGAGAACTCATTTCCAACACTGTGCCTCCCTTCCTTCTAGACTGCAAGAAATCCCGACTCCATCCCTGAGCTGTTCATTTCTCCATTCTTGTCTGTCCATTTGTCTCTCTGTCACTCCTCCCAGCACTGACCATCTATCCCTTTTTCAGAACCCAGACCTCACCTTTCCTGTATCTTCAGGACCTGGTTGCAGTGTCACTGAACAGGGCAGGTTGACAACCATCTGGTGGATTAGAAGGAGGTCAGCAAACAAAAAATATAGGGATCCTTTTCTCTTTTAATCTTCTCTGGAAACCCTGTCCAGGACTTGGGGTCAGTACCTGCAGGGTAAAGGGGTAGGCATTGTCCCCCAGCTTGTGCAGCAGTCGCTCCTGCAGGACTGTGAGGGGCCTCTGGGGGCTGATGGGTTCAGCTGGGACAACTTGCTGGACCTGTACATAGAGGTCTTTGCGGAATGTCAGACCGATTACATCCAAGTCATCATGGCCGTAGCGAAAGGCGCATGTCAACATGACAAACACTGTGGGCAAAGGAGGAAGAGAGTAACCTATTAAGCCTGTGGGGGAAAGGAGGTCTTAAATGGCTCTTAGAAAGACATGGAGAAACAATGTGACATGATTGAAACAGTACAGCCATAAAGAAAAGGACTAATACATTTGACTGCAGTAAAATTTAAAGCTTCTTTACATTAAGAGTTTTCATAAACAATAAAACAAACAAAAGTCTGGGAGAAAAATATATTCAACACATATAGCAAACAAAAGTTTAGTATTCATACTATATAAAGAGCTCCCACAAATGAATAAGAAAAATAAAAATATCCCAATATGAAAATGTACAAAGAATATGAATAATCTCTTCACCAAAGTACAAAATGAAATGGACAATAAGATATGGAAACATGTCCAGTCTCATCAGTAATCAGATAAAAGCAAATTAAAACCACAATAACATTTCATACCTATCAGGTTATTAAACAATTTAAAGTCCAACAATACTAAGTATTGGTGAAGATGTGGAGCAATAGGGGTTTCATACACACTGCTGGTGGGAGTATACATTAGGATAACCACTTTGGAAAACTTTTTAGCACTGTTCAGTAAATTGAATCGGCTCAATATCTTATGATCTAAGAAGAATTTAGAGGCACTCTTGCTCATGTTTACAAGGAGATACATATAAGAATATTCATTGCATCAATGTTTGTTATAGCGTAACACTGGAAATAATTTAAATATCTCTCAGTGGGAGAATGGGTAATACAGTTATGGTATTTTTACATAATGGAATACTAAACTGAGATTAAAATAAATGAACTAGAACTCCATGTGTTAACATGGTTAAATCTCAAAAACTATTGAGTAAAAAAGCTAGCTACAGAATGATATGCTTATAAAAGTTTATGTTTATCAAATTTAAAGGCATGTAGAGCCCGGCCGGTGTGGCTCAGTGGCTGAGCAGCGACCCATGCACCAAGAGGTGGCCGGCTCGATTCCCGGTCAGGGCACATGCCCAGGTTGTGGGCCCGATCCCCAGTGGGGGGCATGTAGGAGGCGGCCAATCGATGTTCTCTCTCATCCATGTTCTCTCTCATCGATGTTTCTATCTCTCTCTCCCTCTCCCTTCCTCTCTCTAAAATCAATAAAGAACTCCAAAAAAGTAAATAAGTAAAGGCATGTAGAACAATACCAAAGTTGCTCACAGATATATAAATATAAAGTAAGAATATAGAAACATCATGGGAATAATAAACACCAAATTTGGATTAGTGGGTAGGAGTGGGGTGGAGGTGAGGAGAGAAGGGAGAGAGAGGGAGGAAGGGGAATGGGATCAGGGAAGGATACACAGGGGACTTCCGTTTGTTTCTGTAATTATTTGTGTGTGCTCGTGTGTGCATGCGTGTGTAAAAGTCTCATTGTATTTCTCTATAACTAAGATTAAATTGTCTCTTTTTTATTTTTATTTTTCATTATTATTTTTTATTGTTGACAGTAGTACAGATATCCCCATTTTCTCCCTTTGGCCCCTCCCACCCTATTTCCATCCCCCACACCAGGCCTTCATAAGACTATTGTGCATGTCCATGGCCTATGCATACATACATATAAGTTATTTGGTTAATTTCTTCCCATTCCCCCTCCCCTCTGAGATTCTTCGGTCTGCTCCCAGTATCCATGTCTCTGGACCTATTTTGTTCATCAGTTTATTTTGTTCATTAGATTCCACATATATGTGAGATCATGGGATATTTGACTTTCTCTGAGTAGCTTATTTTGCTTAGCATTATAATCTCCAGGTCCATCAATGCTGTTGCAAAGCTAGGTGGTGGGTACAAAGTATTCATTATAGAATTCTCTAGGGTCAGAATACCTGTGCTTGAATATGACTTGTATAAATACCTCTGGTTCTCTGAGCCTCAGTTATTTTACCTGTCAATAACAGGACAGCGTTCAGACTCTACGTATGTTATTTAGACCTCACAATATTCCTCTGAAGTATTATCTCCACTTTACTGGTAGAGAAAATGAGCTTAGAGTAGTTAAGTGATGGCCCAGGATTTCAACCCAGGCCTGTCTGAATCCAAAGCTCAGACTTGTGCGTGCCCAACCTCAAATCATAGGACAGTTGTGAGGAGTTGATGTATAGGAAATTGTAAAGTAATTATAGATGTGGATGATGATGATGATGATGATGGAAATATTGGCAGAAACGGAACAGTTATAATTAAATTCATACTTTGCAACTGGTACCTAAGATTAGGTACCTTAATTCTATCAGGAGCCCTGACCCAAAAGAAAGTACTGACAGCCACACACTAATAGAAAGCAACCTATTTTAGCATTTTTAAGGCTCAGAATATCAAACAGCCAGATTATCTGCTTTCAAAATCAAGAGCAAGAAAAATGGCCCTGGCTGCTGTGGTTAAGTGGTTAGAGCATCGGCCCTTGCACCAAAGGGTCCAGGTCAAGGGCATGTACCTGGGTTGCGAGTTTGATCCCCAGCCAGGTCGGGGTGTGTGTGGGAGGCAACCAATCAATGTGTCTCTCACATCAATGTTTCTTTCTCTCTCTCTTCCACCATCTAACCCCCTCCCTTCCTTTCTTCCACCCTCTCTAAAAATCAGTGGAAAAATATCCTAGAGTGAGGATTAACAACAACAAAAAGGAATAAAATTAAAATAAAGTTTACTAAAATTAAAAAAAAAGAACAAGGGAAACGAATCTACATTCAAAAGATACAACAAAGACTGAAAATAATGATAATGATGGTGTTTATAAGAATTGGAGTAATGGGCAGCCTCATACACTGTGGGAGGGAGAATTAATTGGTACAACCATTTTTGAGGGTAATTTGGCAATAGAAAGCTTAAAATATGTGTAAATGCCCTTTGGCCATTCATTTCTTTTCTAGGCATTTAGTCTAAAGAAATAATTGGACAAGTATAAAAAGATATATACAAGTATGTACTTTACAGGGTTGTTTATAATAGGAAAAACATCAAACAATTGAAGATTGGCTAAGTACATAATGGTATACCCATACAATATAGGACTAGGCAACTTAAAATTATAGATTTTTATATAGTGACAAAAGAAGATTAGAACACTATTTATAATACAGCATTTCCAATAAAAATATAGATATTCTGCACAGAAAATATGAATAAATATGAACTAAAATATTACTAGTAATTATGTTAATTATCTCCGGTTGTTAGCATTATAGTCTCTTTCTCCTTCATCTGTACTTTCTAATATTTCTACAATTAAGACAAACAACAGTTTTCAAAATTGACAACAAATAAATTCACCTTGGTTCTCAATTACAGCAAATTAAAGTGGGAGAAGGGAGAAAGAAAGAAGAGGAAAGAAGGGACAAAGGAAAGGAAAAGACAGACAAGGTGAGAAGAGGGAAAAGAGGTGGCTGGAAGGAAGCAGGGGAAGGGAGGGAATGAAAGAGATGAGAAATAAGACAGAAAAAAGATCAGGAGGGGTGAGGCAGAGGGTCTCTGATATCCCCTGAGGTGAGGGTATTAGTCAGATGATTTGTTCTTTTTGTTGTTAATCCTCACTTAAGGGTATTTTTCCATTGACTTTTAGAGTAGAAGGGAAGGAAGGAGGGGAGAGAGAAACATCAATGTGAGAGGGACACATCTATTGGTTTCCTCCCACAGGTACCCCGACCGGGGCTAGTGATTGAACCTGTAACCCAGGTATGTGCCCTTGACCAGGAATTGAACCCACAACCTTTTGGTGCACAGGCCGATGCTCTAACCACTGAGCAGCACTGGCCAGGGCAGATGATTCGTTCTTAACACATCCCGTTGTTTGCAAGTGGGGAGGGTATTGCCGCCCCTCAAGATCTTATTGGCTTTCAAGCAGTTTAGAATCATCTTTTGATTGTACCAGGGCATATCCTGGTTTTATTTTTCTTAAATCCAACATCTACTCTAAAGTTATTAATTTATATTTGTGTTTATTATACAAATAATACATATTAATTGTGTGAAAACGAGAAAATACAAACAAAACGATAAATCAGCCCTGGCAGGTGTGGCTCAGTTGGTTGGGCGTCATCCCATGCACCAAATGGTTGCCGGTTCAATTCCTGATCAGGGCACATGCCTAGTTGTGGGCTTGAACCCCAGTAGGGAGCATGTAGGAGGCAGCTGATTGATGTTTCTCTCACATTGATGTTTCTCTCTTTCTCCCTCTCCCTTCCTCTTTCCCTCTAAAAAAACAATAAAACCATTAAAAAAGATAAATCAAAGCTCCACCATCATATCATATTTTAGAGGTAACTTCTGTTTATAACTGTTGCATTAGTTTCCCAACTTTGTTTCTATAATTAAATATAAGATCACCTTAGGTATTTATGACTTCTCTCTCACTACCTTCTTCATTTTTAAAAAATAATTTTTCTTTATTGATTTTAGAGAGAGAGGAAGGGAGAGGTAGAGAGACAGAAACATCGATTGGCCGCCTCCTGCATGTCCCCCACTGGGGATCGGGCCCACAACCTGGGTATGTGCCCTGACCGGGAATCAAACCAGTGACCTCTTGGTGCATGGGTCGACGCTCAACCACTGAGCCACACCGGCTGGGCTCTCACTGCCTTCTTTAAAATAAACTTTTTATTTTGAGATCATTGTAGTTGTAAGAAATTTGATCATGCAATGGCATAGAGTAAGCATATTTTACAACAACAAATGCACCTTGATAGAAGAAAAAGCAAGGGTCTTTTACTTACTCTTTCGACCTTTTAAGTAATCAGGGTCAACCAGGAGTACACCATCTGTGGAGAGAGGGAGCAACAGCACCCCTGGTCAGGAAAAGATCCCAGATCGTGAAGCCGAAGTCCATTCCTGAAATGCTTCCTTCCATTTTCCCCTTTGATTGCCCTTCTCTTTCACACGATCTTTTCTTGGTTTTCTTTCACTCCTTGGCTCCCATTCCCTTCTCCCCAGGCTCTTTCCCTTTTTTGGACTCACTGACCAATGGGTTCCACCATGTCCACATGGTCCACGAAGTCCCGTTTCCCCAGGTACATGGAAAGCTGTTGTGGAGCAACCTCCCATGTTATTCTCATCATCACTTTTTAGCATAGTCACCTGAAGCCCTCAACCCAAACCCCCGAGACCTTGAAGGATGTACCCACCTATCCCTCTTGCCCCCTCACCTTCCCATTGGAGCAGGTCTTCTTAAACACCCTATGGGGAGAGAACCAGAAAGAAGATAGGGTGGAAGATTGGAAAAGAAGGGAAGAGGAGAGGATGGACGGGGAGAGAAAGGTTAAGTGGGGAGAAAAGAAACTATTCCTAGGATTAGAAGAGGCCTGAGGAGCATCAGATGGTGCAAAGGTGGAGGAAACTGGGGTAGAGTTCAATCCACAAGTTGTGGGAGGTTTGAAACCCTGATGCTCCAAAGGCAAGTACTTGGATTTGGGTAGGTGACAAGTGGCGGGATCGGAGAATTAGAAGTTCTTACTTACCTGGAAATGTTGGCCATGGAATCAATGGAGAGCCTTTTCTGGGAAGAGGGAGAGAAGGAGGAAGGCTCAATCAGTTGGTCCCTAGTCTCCTTAGTCCCCCTTGCTATCCCATCTAGTCACTCCTGGTGTAATGTAACCTTCCACCTTAGACACCTCCCACCATGAAGTACCTTTTCTATTCTCTGTCCTGCCAACGGTACTTATTCAGCCATATTCTCACCCATCATGTACATAAGGAAAAAAACCTTCCTATTTTTTTTTTTTTTACAAATTGTTGGGTAACTATACTGTCCATTCTTCAGAAAGTGCGGGCTGTCCTGGAGTAGCTGGGGCACTCTTGAAAGCCTTCAGAGGAAAGAAACTTGTCTGTAAAGGGGCTGGAGATAGGCCTCCATGTAGCAAAGTGTAACGAAAATTGGACTGTATGAGGCTGGACATCACCTTAGCACACAGTGGGCTCCAAGACGTGTTTGTTAGCTACGGGATGGAAGGAACAAACCCAAACAGATTCTGTCTGCTTTTGCTCCTGCAGTGGATTCTGAGCTTGAGTTCACTTCACAGTGGCCTGATCCCTCAGCTAAGAAAGGAGAGGTGTGTGAGAAAACAGTTGGTGCCCTCCTGCTCTTGGTTGTTGGTGGCAGACACCTCTGTGGAGGTCGAAATCCTTTCTTGAACCTGGTCATCACTCTTATCACCCTCTCCAGATCTTCCCATCCTTCTCCTCATACATGTCCCAGGTACTAGGCCTCAGAGAAGGGGACTCTTAGAGAGAGGAATATATCTCTCCAGTGCTTCCCTTTGATGCATATTAGGTCTGGTCCCAGGGTGAGCTTAGGAGAGCTTCCGGGGGTCTCTTGCAGGGTCTCAGCCTGAGTGCCTGCCGGCTGTGTCAGGAAAGGTGACCCTCAACTGCTCCCTGATATTAAGGATGATGCAAAGGGCAAGGGATGTGGGGCACAGTATCGGCTAGAAATAGAGGACTTTGGACTGTTACCTGGAGAGTGAGATGAAGCTTGCGTCAGTCTCCGCTCTGGTTGCTATGCCTCTTATAGCCAAGGTCCTTCCCAGCCTCTTATACCCAAGGTCCTCTAAGTGCTCAGTGCTCAGATTGGTGGGGGTCAGGGGAAAAATAGCGTTGGGGGGTAGCATGAAATGCTGCTTTATAAATAGCTCAAATGTCAAGAAAGCAGATTAGTGGCTAAAAGATTAGTGGCTAAAAGATTAGCAGGCTCTTCATGTTGGGACAGGGTGGGGGTAGGAGTTTGAATCTGATGGTGTTAAAGACAGGGGAGCCTGAGAAGGGGAAATACAGGGTTGTGGTCAGGTGAGACCTTGAACCTGAGGACGGGGATCAAAGCGGAGCCAGAGGCCTTAAAGGAAAAGCATGGTGAGGAATAGAAAGAGGAGGGCTCAAAGTATAAGCCTTCCAAAGATATGGAAAAGAGTACCCCTTCCCCAGCCCCCCATCACTCAGGACTTGAGACTCCTGAAGCTGATATTTAGAAGCACTAATTACCCCAGCTTCTGTGCACAGCAGGAGTCAATCTCCTGTAAGAGGGAGTGGAGGGGGGTGAGTGTATTGAGCTGTGTGTGTACAAGTCTGTGAGCCTTGAAGTTCTTTTTTTGTTGGAGAGAAGGTAGTGTCAATGTAAGAAACATTGAAACCTATAGAGAATTTTTATCAGTTTATTTGAGCTAAACTATTGACAATTGTCGGGAAGCAAAATCTCAACGGATTGAGGTAATGCTCCTGAGAATGGCAGTTTTGCATCTTATTTTATATGTTACAATAAAAAGAGGAGACATAAGTGGGTTACATGAAATCCACTGGTGATAGATTAGGGAGGTGGGAGAAAGCACATTGGGGAACCTCTGGGACTGGATGAAAAGTACAATGATAGACACGTACATCTTTTATATAGGGGGGTACAGGATGGTTAACAGTCAACAATTAACTCAATAACAATGAGGGGATTTGTGGTCTCCACAGAGCGCTGCCTGTGTTTTGAGGGGTCCGGACAAAGGGAATTTACTTTGCCATTTCAAAGATATGTTATCGTAGAAGCAAAAAGACAATAGACAGGGTCAGCGTAGGTAAAGATTGACCTTTGTCAGGGAAGATGCCAGCCCAGGACATGACTACCTGCCATAAACTGCTTTTAGTTAAAAAGTTTTCATTTCAGGCCATCCTCTGTGGGGACTTTAGGTCTCTGAGTTTGCACGGCTGCCACGCAGGCCTCCCCTGAGCCTGTCAGTTAGCATGTGGTCCCTTTTCACCTATAGTAACAAAAAATTCTTGGCTCAAGAACAGGTTCTCCTGGCAGGATGTTGCACGTGGAAGGAACAGGCAGTTGACATATGCATCACCCCCACTTGGAGTAACCCCCCCAGCTCTTGACTCTCTCCAATCTCTGAAACTAAGTCCATGCTCTAAGCAGCTTCCCTTGCCTCATATGACCGCTCATAGAATTAGAGACATTTCTGTCCTACAGCTGCCAGGACCCCCATAATAGCAGCAACAAAAGTAATCATCCTTACTTGACTATCCTTCCCACAGGGACCACACCCAGCCTTTGTGGACACAGAGAATGTAGAGACAGAACCTCCAAGCTCTAGGGATACAGGACCCTACCCCCCCCCCCCCCACCTACCCTTAGAGCTGGCTAGTCTTTAGCGTCTATCCACAGATGCAGACTTCAGCCCTCCACAGTGGGGTGTTCTTTCCTCTGAGGATGGCTATGGCTGTGGCTCAGCAGGCTGGGCAGAGCCTTCCCTACCTCCTGCTCCCCACGATAGGTGCTGAATAGCTGCCCTATATTCCCTTTGCACAGCTAGCTGTTAGCCCTTGTTATCCCTTGCCAGCATGCATCCCAGAGCCTTGTCTTTTAGTTGTTGTAACTCTTTCCTTCGTAGGGATTTTCAGGTAGAGCAAGAAGCCCAGGCTCTGCAGGGACTATAGGGTGATTGAAACTAATGCTGGACATACAGAAAAGTCATGTAACACAGTACAGTGTACAGATGACGTGTGGTGGAAGTGCGCGCCTGAAGTCTGTATAATTTTGTTAACTAGTGTCACCAAAATAAGTTCAAGAAAAAGGAAAAAAAAAAAAAAGAACGAAAGAAAAGAGAAGAACTGTGTACTTGCCAAAGTTGCTGTCTGTGGGGAAGGTGAAAAGTCCAAAAGAATGTAATTTTGGACTAGCCTTCAGCCCATTTTTGTCTTCAGACCCACACTTGGGGTCATTTCCTTATTCAACTCAGGCCCATGGTCCTCTCAGCAGGAAGTAGATCTGGTAGGTCTTTAATTCATTATCATGATTGAACTTAAATCATGATCTCTTTTCCAGGAGTCTATGCATTTCTTGACTGAGGTATAATTCATCATTTACAAACAGTAAAATGCACAAATCTTAATTGCACAGCTTGATGAATTTTTATCTACTGTGGAAGGCTAAATAGTGGCCCCCGAAGGTATCAGGTCCTAATTTTTGGAAACTATGAATGTTAACCTGGTTATTATTAACAGAAAAGGAGTAAAGGGAAGACCAGATAAAATAGGCATGCCATTTATACAGCTTTGCCAGGAAGCTGCAATTTTATCAGTCTTCAGTTCTATTCCCCACAGATTGATGGGGGCAGGGACTGGACAGAGGCAGTTTAAATGCATGCCCAGCAAGTTGTGTGTGATATGAGAAGGTGCTTACCTGTCGGTCACACTTGGGAACAAGTCAGTGGCCAGAGTAGGCTTGGCCACTTCAAGAGCACAAAATCCAAATATTTAAACTTGCAAACAAAGGAAGTTTCTCTTTTTCACTCTCTTGATTCTCCTGGCCCTCTTGGGACTCTGGTCGCAGGGGGAGTACTCCCTTGCATTTGCTCACATGGCCCACATGTGGACTCCACACAATGGACTAATGGACTGTGATTAGCCTGATGCTACATCGGACTCAACTCTGCCATGGACCAGAAACTCTGGACACTGGCCCTACTTCTAGCTCTGCTAAATCCACTACTGTTTTTTTCCAGAGCTGGACTAACCCGAGTAATGTAACTCCACAAAAATAAAATCTTTTACCACATCTCATCATCCTGTGTCAAAGGGACCTTGCAGATGTGATTAAATGAAGGATCTTGACATGGGGAGACTATTTTGGATCATCTGAGTGGGCCTTAAATGTAATCACTGGTCTCTTTATAAGAGGGAGGCAGAGGGAGATAGAAAAAGATTTGGCTACAGAGACAGAAGGAAATGTGAGGACTGAAACAAGCTGCTATGCTGCTGGCTATGAAGACGGAGAAAGGGGCCACAGTCAAGGAATGTAGCTCTAGAAGCTGGAAAAGGAAAGGTACTGGATTCTCCCCTGTGGTTTCTCATGGTTGCTAGGTGACTATTGCAGTTTAGGGGCAGCCCTGCTCACACCTTGATTTTGGCCCAGTGAAACTCATTTTGGTCCTTACCCCCTTCAATGATATTCTCAACCAGGCCTTCCAGTTAGGAAGTGATCACATCTGTGAGTGGGGAAGAGGTCTCTTATTAAGTAAGAGACTATAGCCGGCAGGATTGTTTATCAACCCATTAGCCATACCCCTTGCTTGTCGTGGGCAGAAAATGGGGATTTTTTTGGTACTCCATCCTCTTCCACTTGGTGTTCTGCTCTTCTAAGCCAGTCCTGATCATTGCACCCCCCTTCCCAGTGATTGTTTTAGTTACAGGCTTAATTATAGCCTTGATGAAATTCAGGCCACTAAGAAGTGAGGGAAGTGTGCTAGAGAGATTCTGGGAAAGGTTTACTGAGTGATAAAAATAAGCGCACAGGATAGAGGCCTTCTTCTCCTACCACTGAATAGTGCCATGTTTGGATGCAATGCCTGAGCTGCTAACCAAAATGCTGAGGGGAGCAGATCAGAAAGATGGAAAGAAACAGGATTTTTTATAACATTCTCGAACTGTTGAATTAGCCAACTCCAAAGCTGCCCGCTCTTGGACTAAGATGCGAGATAATATATTTCCTTATTTTAAAGTCAGCAGAGTG